GTTTACTTCCCTTAATTTACAGGGAACTTTGGAAACAAATGTCTACTTCATTTAAACCAGTTTTTTTTTTAAAAAAAACCCAACAACTTGTCAATTGTAAGATGTGTGGAGTCCTTGGTGCTCTCTGAGCTTAGTTTTTTTCTTGTAGACGTTTCATTATCCAAACTAAGTAATGTCATCAGTGCTAGGGATGTTACCTAGCACTGATCATGCAGTTACTAGCTCTGATGATGTTACCTAGTTTGTGTAATGAAACATCTGCAAGAAAACAGTCACGCTCAGAGGGCACCAAGAACTCCTCATTTCAACCCTGAGCTACAAATATTCTTTAAGATGTGTGGAATTGTGGGAGTTGGGTGGCCCTTGAGTGTGTTGCCAAGTGTAAAAAACACTGATTTAAAGAGCACTAGAGCTTTCCTTGGCATGAGTAAACTGAGAGGAACTGAACGGCTAACCCTATGGATACCCACGGGGACAGTAGAAGAAAGTTGCTTAGATCTTTCTCTAGAGGCATTGAAATTCAATTAGGATTACAATCCAGTGTGCCATTGCCAGTATATATCATGAACACTGGATACGTTTGGCCCAATCCTAGCTATGTTCTAAAGAACTCTGAAAATCTAACACTTTCCCCAGGCCTTGAATTATACATCCAAGAGTTGCATTTTTGTCTTTTCATGATAGATTTTCTTCTTTCGGAGGTGGGAAACTGTCTTTTTAATTGTATGATTGTTTTTACTATATGCTACCCAGCATTGTTACAGAGTTGGGCAGCCAGCCTTGTACAATTTTTACAGTAAATAAATGAATAAGAAATCCCAGGGCTATAGCAAGGTTAGGAAGTTAAAAACATCCCCAAACAAAGCAGTAACAAGCCATTTCTGTAAATTCAAGCAAATTACAAGGACCAGGAGTTGAGTTTGACTGGCAGTAGAGTTTAACCTACCTGTGCAGAAGCAAGTTGTTGTATAGTTTATACTTGTTAATAATAAGAACAAAATTGGAACCATCAATGCTGCCCTGGTAGTTTCGGAAGTACAGATTGTCCTAAAGCTGTGTAGGAACCTCTTTCGAAATCAGCATGCATTTATTTGATGGGTTTATGTTGAACTGTGTCTGAAATAAAGATTTGATTTGAGATACAGTATTTGTAAGGAGTTTTTTTTTCAGCAGCTTATAAAGCAGCCCCGCCTTCAAAGTTGCAATCTCAAAATCACAAGAAAAAAGAAAAAGGAATTGGGAATAGAGAGGAAAGAACAACTCCTGGCCAGAATAGCCAAAAGTCAGTAACCGGTTGAGTAGCTTTTTCTTGCTCAACCGATTATCATCTTCCTTCTCTTTCTTTCTTATCTGCTTCTTTTTGTTTATGCATCTTGCCAGAGTTGCATCTTTACAATTAATGCTTTAAATGAAAAAAAAATATCTAAACCTCATGTAATTAAAATGATGCTGTTCCTGGATAAAAGGGAATTATTAGCTGTCCCAAATACCAGGATTGTTTGGAAGCTTGAATTTACAGGATAATGGATTCCAAAAGGGGGCAAAACAAAAAGGTATAGAATTGGCAGAGATCAGGTGTGATGGAGACAGAGAAGAACTGAACTAGAGTTTATTGATTACCAAATACTAGTGGAACAGACATACAGAGAGATAAAACTGAGGGAAATGGCATCGTCATCTAAAAGAAAGGTAGCAGAACTCAATTCCAGAAAGGCAGCAGTTGATATTGAGACATTTTGATACACATTTTGAATGCACTCAACCTTTCTGCACTTAGGGAAAAGCTGAAGCATTTATGGCGATTCTTTATTCCTTGAAGCTTCTCCCAACTGAAGCAACCATGATTTTTTCCTTAGAACTAGTATGTTTTCACTCAAGTAGACTTATCAGGCTTGCTTAGTTTTTTGGGGGTATTTTTGTAAACTGTTTCATAATCTAGTGCAAAATAATTTCATTCCTTTACTAGTAAGGAATAAAAGAATTGTGTGAAGTGCAGCACCT